ATCAAATTGCTGTATTAATAATATCATACTGTCTATGTTCAATGTCCATAACTCAATTGAATAATTTAATAGTTAATTACTTTTATAAGTTGATTAGAGGAAATTCGCAATTTGAATAAAGAAGTTATACACAGCAAAAATATATTTACTAGGATGATATTTTTAAGTATTTTGGCCACCTTATAATGATCTGAAAATGGATATTTGCACTTAATTATAAAATAATAAAAATCAGGATTTCGAACTTATAAAGTTATAAGTTTATGATCCGTATTAATTAACTGCAAGTACAGATATATAATATGACCTTAATTTGCCTATTATTTCTAACCACCTCAGATACATGGCACCTTGGTGAAGTGGAGTAAAATTGAGTACATTTTTAAGAGAAAAATTCCTAGAGGAATACATTGGATCTACGATGGTGTTATAAAATTAGGAATTGTGTTTGTTGGGCGCACTGTGTCAACTTAATCGAATTAGGTGAAAATAGTTCTTCTATTCTTTTACCATTACAATATTTTTCTTTTCCTGCCTTTGAAATTTTGGGTTCATTCGCAACGATCACTTGTTTTAGAATGACCACTCTCTGTATTTATGTAATGTGTTACTCCATATATACATGTTTGCATTTTCCTCCAATACCTGCTGCTTGCTGGACATTGACATACAGCTTCTACAACATMTCTGTTAGACCCATTAACCTATTATATAATTCAAGAACTTACACTCCAACTGCATTTTGAACACAGTTATTATATTTTATTTAAGCAGAATATTAATGAAATCAGAAATATTACAATGAATTTTCAAGACTAAATTAAACTTACTACGTGTTTCACTAGATATGGATGCAACGTAATTGAAGCTTGCCGTATAACATGGCTATTAATTTTACTTTTGTTTCCTAATAATATTTCTTTAACGTTTATCACATGGTGACTTTTTACCAACAGTTTTCCTTTACTCTGGAMATTATCAGAAAAGCCACTACTAATAATAATTTTAAATCCTGAATAAAGAGTTATACTTTGACTCATATTTAAATACCAAATCATCAATCAGAGTTAACATAATAATATTAATATATTACAGGCTACAGCCAATTTAAAATTGTATACATTAGTTTATATTAATCATTTATTTATATGTCTAGGTACGTCTATAATATATCCCTATCAAAACTTAGATTTTTGTCCACCATGCGCGCTTGTGTAGCATTCATATCAAATGCATGTCGCCTATACTCTACTCGGAATAATACCTTAGAAACAGCAAATATAGGCGTATATCAATATTTTAATAGGTGTTTGAATTAKACATAATAGCTTACTGACATTGGGGTTGTTTCTTCACCTAACGTCCATGTATTAATTATGTCTTCTTTATAAATACGATTAGAACAAACCAGATTTGATTTTTTAAATACTACA